AATAGATTATATCTACACAGACGTACAGGGTTATAATAGATTATATCTACACAGACGTACAGGGTTATAATAGATGATATCTACACAGACGTACAGGGTTACAGTGGATTATATCTACACAGACGTACAGGGTTATAATAGATAATATCTACACAGACGTACAGGGTTATAGACGATTATATCTACACAGACGTACAGGGCTATCTACACAGACCTACATGGTTATATTGGATAATATCTACACAGACGTACAGGGTTATAGTTGATATGCGTTGGAACAGAACACAATTTCTAGTGGAAAATCGTCAATGAAACCAACATCAGGAGGCCATAAAAACCCAACATATTCAGTTTCGATTACTTTCGCATTTCTCAGATGAGTTCGAACGCGTTCTGCTGATGAGCATTGCATTGTAAAGGTGTTATGCTTTCGATAAAACGTCTAGATATTCTTCACTTCCGACAGACAATAAACACAGAAGTTATACATTACATAACAGGGAAACATTACAGCACACAGTTTATAGAGTGTGAATATTGACAGCATAATATGTGTAGACCATAAGAGCGATGAAAGATTCCACAAACTGGAGTAATGATAGAGTTTTTATAATAGCCGACCTGTCTGTTATCTATAATACGTGTACGTAAGTTACGTATACGTAGGATGGGGGATATTTATTTGACCGATTTAGCTCCTCCATCGAGATAGTTGGGAAATACTGCTGCCACTAATTAAAGTGGCCATGCTCTGTCTATATATTTACATATAGTTTACACGATCAGCAATGGCGGTCGCGATATTTACTTCGTGACGAGATATTTTCAGTATACACGATCAGCAATGACTGTCGCGATATTTATTTAGTGACGTGACATGTCCTGATATTTAACTATACACGATCAGCAATGACTGACGCGATATTTATTTAGTGACGTGATATGTCCTGATATTTACCTATACACGATCAGCAATGACTGACGCGATATTTATTTAGTGACGTGATATGTCCTGATAACTAACTATACATGATAAGCAATGACTGTCGCGATATTTATTCAGTGACGTGACATGTCCTGATATTTAACTATACACGATCAGCAATGACTGATGCGATATTTATTTAGTGACGTGATATGTCCTGATATTTAACTATACATGATAAGCAATGACAGTCGCGATATTTATTTAATGACGTGATATGTCCTGATATTTAACTATACACGATAAGCAATGACTGACGCGATATTTATTTAGTGACGTGATATGTCCTGATATTTAACTATATATGATAAGCAATGACTGACGCGACATTTATTTGTTGACGTGACATGTCCTGATATTTAACTATACATGATAAGCAATGACTGACGCGATATTTATATAGTGACATGATATGTCCTGATATTTAACTATATATGATAAGCAATGACTGACGCGACATTTATTTGTTGACGTGACATGTCCTGATATTTAACTATACATGATAAGCAATGACTGACGCGATATTTATATAGTGACATGATATGTCCTGATATTTAACTATATATGATAAGCAATGACTGACGCGACATTTATTTCGTGACGTGATATGTCCTGATATTTAACTATACACGATCAGCAATGACTGATGCGATATTTATATAGTGACATGATATGTCCTGATATTTAACTATATATGATAAGCAATGACTGACGCGATATTTATTTGTTGACGTGACATGTCCTGATATTTAACTATACATGATAAGCAATGACTGACGCGATATTTATATAGTGACATGATATGTCCTGATATTTAACTATATATGATAAGCAATGACTGACGCGACATTTATTTCGTGACGTGATATGTCCTGATATTTAACTATACACGATCAGCAATGACTGATGCGATATTTATATAGTGACATGATATGTCCTGATATTTAACTATATATGATAAGCAATGACTGACGCGATATTTATTTGTTGACGTGACATGTCCTGATATTTAACTATACATGATAAGCAATGACTGACGCGATATTTATATAGTGACATGATATGTCCTGATATTTAACTATATATGATAAGCAATGACTGACGCGATATTTATTTGTTGACGTGACATGTCCTGATATTTAACTATACATGATAAGCAATGACTGACGCGATATTTATATAGTGACATGATATGTCCTGATATTTAACTATACATGATAAGCAATGACTGACGCGATATTTATTTAGTGACCTGATATGTCCTGATATTTAACTATACATGATAAGCAATGACTGTCGCGATATTTATTTAGTGACGTCATATGTACTTTGATCATCTATATATATACATCAATCCTAATGGCATGTGTGTATAAGAACGATACAAGATACAAGATACAAGAAACTGTATTTAACGTCGCATATATCAAACAGAGAAACATTAGCGCTAGCTGTAGCGCTATTTTTGCGACAAACATGATAAAAAGCAAACAGATAACAACAATTCTTGCTATACACTATCACAGAAAGCTAGCACATAATCAGCGAGTAAAACATACAATAACATAGCAGCATATACATAGATATCACAGACACTAACTTTAAAGTACTATACTAAGAGATAATAGTGAAACACCTGCATATCACACAGTTGTTACTATATATTGGAGGGTTAAAGCACTTTAAGTGTAATGTACATACATGCTAATATAGCAAAAGAGTAAAAATTGACATAATATCCCCTATTATAGTGTAAATTAAAATAGGACGACAAGGTCTAGTAAGTAAAAGGTATTGAGCTATAATGATGATTAGAAGAGAGGGCTAGAAACTATGCTGCCAGTTATTGGTATATAAAAGCGCCATGCAAAGCAAAAGTTAAACTAAATAGGTAGGTAAATAAATAATAGATAAATAAAGCAGGTAACTAGTAATAAAGACTATAACACTGAAAAAACATTAAAACTCTAGATACAGGTACAGATACGACATGAGCAAACAGGGCCATCCCAGGAGTGCAGTAGTCTGGCAAACTCTGGATAACTATCCACCTTCCTCAAATGGTTTGGCAGACTGTTCCACACCCGGGCGGCCTCGTAGCGAAAAGACTTCAGTCCATACCTGGTCGTTCTTACTCTTGGTAGCTCCAGCCGCCTTTCATTCCTGAGGTTATAAAAAGACGAAACCAAGGTTAAAAGATTACATAAATAATCCGGAGCTACATTGGCAATAATTTTAAAAACTTCACAAGCCATGGTTTTCATTCTGTTTAAATGAAGAAAAGATAAATTTGCTTTTTCTAAAAGTTCTAAAACTGGCGTTGTGTAGTCATCCTCAATAAAACGACTGGCTCTTTCTTGTATCTTCTCCATCCTCCTTGTGGAATTTAAACTGCAGAAGTGCCATGCCAGGGGACTATAATTAAAATTTGAAAGAATAAAAGATTTAAAAATCAAAAGTTTCCCCTGCTTGAAGTATAAGAAGTAAATTGCAGAGATGCGGCACGTAAATATATCACAGCTAGCCACCATGCTTACGTTGGGTGAGCGTTGTATGGTTGTATGGTTGGTTTAACGTTGGCTTGGCTCAACAATGTTGTACAATGTATGTGTAACGTGACCTCTGGAACAGTTGACACGTGCACGTGTACATTCGATACGATGTTTGTGAAATGAACGTGCATTTTCTGGAGGTAATGCCAACGTCAGGCCATCACTTATACTTATATCAAGATAAAATTAGTAGGATGTGTTTTATATTATTTCAGTTTTTGTAGCATAACTTGGAAAAATAATGTTTGTTGAAATATATATACATGTATATTATCTATAAGTTTATTATAATGTCTATATACTATAGGGATGCGGGCAGTGAAACCTAACATTTGTTGGTGTACATCATGGTCACGTGACTAGACTGACTACACCGTGTTACACTACTTCTCACGATTAACTGTTTAGACGTAAGTGTTGGTGGTCGACAGACCAGGCAGTGTACAGTGACAACAACCATTAGTATGGAATACACTATCAGCCAAAATATCAAACTGAGTGGGGAAAGGTAGGCTGTAAACATAAAAATGTTGGTCAGCGACAGTCTGACCTCCGCCTGGCATGTTTGTGTTGATATTTCCCTAGGCTGGGGGCTACTCGTGGGGTTTCCCTGTAATGTAATTACATGATAACACATTAAATAACGCGTGTGTCTTTACTAAACCTTACTAAATTCTGAATTCAAAAATGTACTAGTGAATGTCTCGAAACACTTGATCATGTTTTATTGTATGTATGGGCTAGATCCTTTTTATAAATGAAATGATTTTTGTTGTAGAAGTTTAAAACGAATTTGAAAAATTATCCCTGAAAATGAAAGAAAAAGTCAAAGAATATACATAGTGTATTATGGATGCTATTCGGCGAAACATACTCACATCCTCAGAAGTGATGAAAGGATTAGAAGGTGAGGGATAAAGAAAACCGAAATGAGAAAGTCATATGGTGAAGGAACTGTTGAAGACAACTACAAAAAAAAAAAAAAAAAAAAAAAAGGTATACACGTAATACGACCTACCTTTATAACGAACTGATTGAGTAGGCCCATAACGATTCGTTTTAACCGTGTCTTACTGTAAATTAATTAACATTGTAACAATGAGAATATAAGGCTATAGATACTTTATGTTGTTGTTATTGATTGTTTATTCATCATTTCGAAGACATCTTTATTTTCATAGAACTACGTACGTCTAGACACTCTGTGAAGATTTAAAAATAAATAACGAAACGAGTAAGTAATATTTATGTTTTAGTCACCAAATTCTATACCCGTACTTGTTATGTAATGAGTATAAACATAATTAGATAACACCTAACATATACATGTAGATATGAACGTCTGGCAAGTGTTTTACTTACAGGTAATGTTAGACCAACGTAGGCCGAATGCTTAAAATATGAGTACTAACATTACGTCAACGTTGATCTGATATTGGGCAAACAACAATCTAACTTTGGGACAACACTGCGCCAACATGTTGGCCCAAAGTGTCAAACTGTATACTGTATTCGCTTTGTTTTAGATTTATCGTTGCGCTAACAATTTGTTTGGCCTTCCCTTCTGCCGGTCCATATGCATCATCGGCATGTGACATCAATGCGATTACACATCCGTTTATAACAGTCAGGAGGGCAAATGAGATATCGTGTAACGGCTGTAAAGTAAATTACCGAGAGTTACTCATAAGGAAACATTGTGTAAGCTCTGCTGGGAAAAAACATTCATACCCGCTAAAAGTTACAAACACTTTAGTAAAATCGTCTGTTTATAATAGACTGAACCTGTAGGATTTATATTCGCCAAGTTCTGTCTGAAACAGATAAATGACCGTCGATAAAAACGTGTTCCCACAATCGATAGAATAGGTGACGTCGCTCCAGCCACATAGTGCCGATATAAAGCCCCGGTGAACTACGACCCTGAGTACCCTTAAACGAGTCCGTGTTGAAGACGGGGTAATCCGTGGTAATCCGTGTTGATCCGTGTTGATCCTTGGTTATCCGTATGCTCGCTACGGTACCGAACTACTGTTTAAAACCTCCGGGGTCATCCGTAGCCGAGCTAAGATATTTTGAAAACCGAAGTGCCACCGTAGTACCACTGTCCTTTCCGTAGGATGTCGTTGAAAGACAGAAGACAATAAGCAAGATTATGTATGCTGTTCAAGATCCACCACAACCTCGTGTATACCAACTCCGACATGCTTAATTCACACAGCCTTTCCTACCAAATCCCATCATGTAATAGTGACTACAGGAAGTTCTCGTTCTTCTCACGCACCATCAGGGAATGAAACTCCTTACCATTGGACACTGTCACCTCAGATGACCTAGAGGTCTTCAGATCTCGGGGTATAACTGTGCCGCTAGAACCGCCGTGCAAGCTTCCGTGACCATCCGAGCTCGAGGTTGACCGTACTTTGACGGTAGTGATCGGGAGTCATGCCGACTCATGGTAGCGCTACGGTATCATTACAACCACCGCCGACTCTGGTGCGATGCACATTGGTCTAACGGTATGTGCCGTTAATACGACGATTTACGGTTGCTCCAGGATTTCCAAGGTGTGACACGTGCACGGTTACACTATGTCTATATTACGGTGGTGCTACGTTTGCTGTACGGCAGTGACGGCAGTAATAAGGTTGGTCACGGTTCCAGGTCAGGGTGCTTTACATTGGGGACACAATCTGCTTCAAATCATAGACTTTGTCATCAACAACTACAGGAACAAACTTCAGCTGATGCACTTGCTTCTAGAATTGAACATGCAGCAAGTTGCAAACTACATGGTGATGGTCCAAGTTATTCAGCAACGAAGAACAATGAGAGTCTTAAAATAGATTGAGACTTGCTTCTTATTTGTTCAGTTAAAGAAAACTGACTTTAAGAAAATGTGTCCCAATATATATAAAATGTAACAATCGAGGCGTCACGTGGCGAGGGAATCGATGATGACGTAGCGCCAACTTGGCGGACCGTAGCATAACCTTAGAAAAACGGGACAAACTGTAGTCATACCTTGGCAATCCATGATGATACCATAGTGGAACCTGGATGTATCGAGGCCTATCGTGTTGTCTGTAAGTGGCGTGGAGTAGTGTCTACCGTAGTATAATCGTAGTGACACCTTGATATACCGTTGTAATACCCTTACAACGCCTTAGATAACTGTTTCTGGGCCATACTTGGAGTATATAGAACCGGCAACAACCGAGGTCAATACAAACGCCCCTATATATAGTACAAGTCGTCATTTATGATTCATACACACGCCATATAGAGAACCTGTCAATAAATATCAACACACACGCCATATAGTAACCGCCAATAACCATTCATACACACGTCATATAGTAACCGTCAATAACCATTCACACACACGCCATATAGTAACGGTCAATAGCCATTCACACACACGTCATATAGTAACCCTCAATAACCATTCAAACACACGCCATATAGTAACCGCCAATAACCATTCATACACACGCCATATAGTAACCGTCAATAACCATTCACACACACGCCATATAGTAACGGTCAATAGCCATTCACACACACGTCATATAGTAACCCTCAATAACCATTCAAACACACGCCATATAGTAACCGCCAATAACCATTCATACACACGCCATATAGTAACCGTCAATAACCATTCACACACACGCCATATAGTAACCGTCAATAACCATTCATACACACGTCATATAGTAAC